ATGTATGCATGCTTAGCCTTAATATCAGATTTTTCTTGAACTGGTAGAGTACCTCAGGCTATTTCATCTATTTCAAATTGCATATTAACAAAAATATCTCACTGCTTCACCAGAAAAATTTGTCACTGACAAAAAATAACATGAAATTGACAAACCCTTAATTAAACTACCATTAAGTAATCAATACAACCGAAACTATTTAACCTAACATTATTGATAACACGTACTATACGTACTGAATATTTTTAGTCTATCAGCATTAGTGTAAGCTAGTCTGTTATTTTACCTGCTCGGCAGCCCACACCACTGTCTGCTGTACTCTCCACTCCTGATGCCCCTCCAGTCATATCATGAGACAGAAAAGCTGAGTCTGAAATAAATAATAGAATATGTCTCAAATGCTCAAGTATCTTTCAAACGTAGAGGGGTTGATCTCTGTGACCTTGGAAATATTTATGTCAAGGTGACCAGTTAAGACAGGATTTTTTGATCCAAAGTTAGCTGGCTGGCAGTAACAGTTCACACCCGACTCAAGTTAATGCAGATAAATGTCTAGCTATATTCAGTGGTAAATCTTTAAAAAAATATACTCAGACATGCCCAAACAGCTCATACCATCTGCTTGTCCACTGCCATCATGGTGACCTTGGTGACCTTTGTCTTGGTTCCAGAAAGAGCACGGACCACTTCCATTACGGTCATGGACACTCTGAAACAAGTATATAATATATATACATACAAATGCAAATGCATGCGCTTTATTTGCAGCCCCCCCCCCCCCCCAAAATAAAAAAAAAATTAAATTGTAATATTCACTATTAAGACCTACATGCATGAAGCTGAAGAAACAGCTGAAATTACATGCCTGAATGTAATCAGCAGTTTCAAAGCTAGGGGTTTATTCTTTCGATTCAATTTCCCAATCCGAGTTGTGGCATAGCACTTACATAATTCAAATTTCAAAGCTGACCTCATCTTACCAGTCAGGTTTTTCTAACCCCCCCCCCCACCCCCAGCCCATGGGTGAGCATTACACATAACTATAAAATAAATAAATGTTACTGACAGGAATATTTACCAGGTACATCAGTCATATATTAACATGCATCTTTGAATTCTTCACTTTGAAAAGAGAGTAAATAAATAATATGCTGTCAACAAATTGGCTAATTTATGACAAAATTATAACTGTGGATGTCCTTACTGGCAGAGCAGGGAAGGCATTGGGGTCCCGCTCCTGTAGCTCATATAGAGCAGCAGACTCTTCCATTGCTTTCTTCTCTAGGTCCTGCATTTGATGGCGATGCTGAACTGGCAATCTATGGAGAGAGCGCAAAACTGAGTAAAATACGAAATTCTTAAAACCAAACATAGACTCAGTGCTTATTGAAGCAAGGTCTTTTCAGAATTCTTAATCAGTTCTCATCCACCTAAATCTGTGCATTGTGATAGTTAAACCTCCACCATCTACAAAACTTTGGTATAAATGCATTACCATGGACAGCTATTGGTATTTGGACACAAAACAAATGATTATTTTCTATTATATACTATCAAACAAGTTGCCAGGATGTATTTCTGAAAGCAAAATTACTGCCCATGCAGTCTTATACCATACAAAAACAGCATACTATGAGGCTAGGCATGTAAAATGAGAAGACGTTGAAACTAAGAAGACTAAAAATTTCATCACATTATGGACCACGTACAACTGTTGTTTAGAAAGAGGACACAATTGCTATCAAATAATTAATATCATATGTACATGCATGGGGTCTCACTATGCCAAATCCTATTAAGGTACCTTGAATAAAGACATTAGATTACTGAAATGTTTAATTCATTGCACCTGTCTAGCACATCTGGTATCATACGTGACGATTAGATATTACGTATTATAATATATAGGAGCTATACTGACATTGTGGACTAGTTACTTTCAAAAAATTTATTTCATAAAGATAAATCTAAAACTTTTTATTGAAGGCAAAATAGACAATTTCAGTTAGAACAGTGACACAGGATAACAACACTTTGTAAACAAACCATATTATATAATCCAATATAAATCAAGTCTGGCATGAATCAGGTAAATTATTTGTGGAGTGTACCTTTAAGTTAAGGGTAAGCCTTTGTTAATAATTGATTCAAATTAAGATGATAAATCATTACATGAAACATAATTCAAATTTGAGTGGAAGGTGCTGATCTGTAACATAAAGTGAAGTGGGTCTAAAAATGATCTTCCCTTAGATGTAATATGTTAATGATTCATGGAAATGAGTTAGTAAGGGAATAATGGGACTACTTAATTCACTTTTATTAAGTCACACAAGGATGTCAAATAAATCTCATGTTATTCAAATAAAAAAGAAAGGTAGTGGCAAGGATAATAACAAGCTTTAAGGGTTTGTGTATATATTTAAGAATCATGCTTGATCACTTTTTTTTTTAGAAACTAAAACAATTTTTGGTTAACATCTGAGTTACCTAAACCACGGAACCTCCAGTCCTTCTGGAGTTGTGGGCGGAAAGAAAGTACAAGATGGCGGCACAACATCCCGAAATGGGAGAAAACGGTCATCACCATGGCGAGGTTTGACATATTTAAGGCTTTGGGTAAACAAATTAGAAACATGAAATAAAGACAAATTTAAGAACATAGCTAAAGCCACAAAAATGTCCACAACATGTGAGGCATAAACACATAATTTAAAAGATACAAAATAAATAATAAAACCAAAAGAAAATAAAGAAATTGCATTAACTACTTTGAAATAAATCTTGAGGTTTGGTTAACTAAACAGTCAACATCTAATATTAAAATTGCTGAGCTGAATAGTCTCTATCCAGGATATTCCTCGATGAAGCAGTTTTGGATAGATTTCAAAATATTGGAAGTAAACAACAATTTCACTATTAGCTGTTGACTGAAAAGAACCACTTCCATATTCCAACTCCATACACTGTAACACAGCTGATAAAATTCAATTCTGGCCAAAACTGTCGTGAAAAAAATTTTAAGGAATTCTGAAAATAAGGACTTAATTCTTTTATTGAGACTATATACGTAATATACAACTAAGAACTGAAACATTTCATATAAAACAATGATTATATTGATTCAATATATTCCTTAAAATCTCATCTCAACCAAGGTCATATACTTAGACATTATTGATCTCACTAACTTATAGCCTTACTTGTCTGAACTGTTCCACTGCTTGTTGATGGGACGTCCACTGGAGTTGAAGAGACCACAGTTGCTGCCAAAGCGTGGTGGGGGGGTCCTTTTTCATAGAACAAATTATTCAGTATAAATCATTTTACATAATGTTTCAGATCTGTCAGTAAATCATGTTTATAAAGTCATTCTTATAAAATATATAGCTGCAGATTTAGTATGTAATTTACATACTGTCACAATTTGTGTATGAGAGAGAGAGAAATGAAAAAGTCTGGTCCTCCCTGTGCGAACTCACCTACTGGCTCCTCTTGGGTAGGAGGCTCTCTCCCCCTGTTGTTGTAGTCTTGGAGGGAGGGGTTGCCCACGTCCTAATGGCATAAAAAAGGGGATCTCTTTCTTCTTCTTATGAAGTTTCTTCTTGTTACTCAGAGAGTTTGAGGCTGAATCTTCAACAATAAAAGTAAATTTGTTGAGTACAGTGATATTAACATTTGTTAAACAAGGCAGCAAAGCTGTCAAATGAACAGACATAACATGGCAAAACTTACAGAAGCATGCAATTGCTTTGACGACATGAATATAAAACACCAAAAATCTTTTCAATCAAGAAGTCATATATTAAAAATATGATGTTCATTGTTTTAAGTTAA